CATCTTATCCAGCTCATGAATGGATGATTTACTTAAAAAGCTATTCATTTCAATTGTCAGCATTATTGTCATTATCGTTGAAAACCTTTTTTATGCTATCCGGATTTCTTCTTACACTAAAATGTATTGAACACAATTATTTCTTCACTTGGAAAGAATATTCAATTTATATATTTAGACGAGCATGTCGTTTTTGGCCAGGTATTTTAATGATTACCATTGTTATGCTATTACTGGGTGAACCAAAAGGTAATTGGATGAGTCTTTGGTTATTTTATCAAAATTACGTTGATGTAGAACAGTGGTCAGCCGGCTTCGGTGCTCTGTGGAGTATCAGTCTTGATATGCAAATGCATATACTTCTACCCGTTGTTTTGTACATGAATGTTAGTCGCACGTCAAATTATCAAAGAACTTATTTAGGATTATATATACTCATTATTTTGTCAATTGTATATTTACTGTCTGTTTTCAATCCACAAACAATGGATTTGCCGACGATTATGTATTGTTATAATTCAATGGCATTATTGATGCCGCAACGAATTTTTTATTGGATTATAACTGAGTATAATATTACATTGGCATTCGAACGACCAACTGTACCAAGTCCAATAACATCATTCATGAAAAAGATGTATCTACCTGTCATAAGTCGATATTCAAGTTTTATCATCGGATCAGCCTAAGCGTTGAATTTGATGAATGCCAAAAACTCGGATGTTATTTATTATGGAAAGATGAAAAAATATCTATATTTTACATTAATTTGGCTGTATATGCTCATATTAGTGATACCAGTTGAACCAGCTGCAGACAATCATGTACTACTTGCAATCATGATATCAATTGGTCGACAATTATTTTCTATATCACAAGCATTTACTTTATTTTCTGCTCTTTGTCCATCTACTCATCCTTATCACAGTTCATGGATCAGATCATTTTTGTCACTTCCTATCTGGACATCAATTGCCAAATGAAGTTACCTTGTATACATCCTTCATTTTCGAATTGCATTCGAACTGATTATGTCAAATACCAATCTTCAATTGATAGTTTAGCACCCATATGTCTTGTATTAGTACTCACAATATGTCTAATTCTAGCAGTAGTTTGGTTCGTTCTCGTCGAAAAACCATTTGAACGAGTGATTAATCAACTTTTATTCAAAAATAAAAAGATTCATACCAAATAGTTTAGTAGAAACATATGATTGCACTGTTGTTATAGTGTGAATCAATTATATATATGGTATTTTTCTTTCCTCTTTCTTCTGTTCTGCTATTGTACATAGATGATGCGTACGATATACATA